GGAAACACCGCCGTAGGGCCGCGAAGCGGGCATCGCTGGTACCTGGGTTGTCCCAGGCGAGTTGCAACTTTTGCCACCAGGCCGCCTCCCTGCCGTGCCAAGGGTAGCCCTCCTTCGGTTGCATGAGGGGTTTGTACACAAAGGGCCGGGTGCACCCGCGCCCACCAGGTTTGGTGAAGTGTTCAACCGCAAACCTGTGGGTGAGTTCGGCGAATTGGCGGTTGACCAGAGTGCCCTGGATCACCTCCGACCCAAAAGCCCCAAGCATAGGGCCGCCACCGAGGGTTTGGGGAGGAAAGGTCGGATCAAGAGTGAGGCTGTCTGTCCGACTGGCGGCCCCTGTTAGGGGCTCGGTGCTGTCTGTTTTGAGTACCCCAGGGAACGCAGGGAGTTGCCTCAAGGCGACTTGGCCCCCAGGGGTGTTAAAACAGCACTCCAGGGCAGCGTGAGGCCGGAAAGGCACTTGCCAGCTGGCAGCACAGGTCAACAAAGAAGCGACACTGGTGGAGACCAGGGCGTAGTCGAGACAGTTACCTGTGGTGATCGTCGCCTCCGGAGGGGCGACAATCCGCCCACGAAAAGCCTCGGGCAGGGTGGTCTCCGCCAGCTCCTGAGAGGGGAAGTTCCAGTCCCCAACGACAATCCAGTTGGAAGTTTGGCGCAGGAGGGGCTTCAAACGTGCGAGGACTTCCGGGTTGGGCGCCCCAGTGATGCCAACACCTGATTTCAAGTACAGGTTGACCAAAAGGAGGGAATGGCGAACCCTGGGAAGTTCGACCAGCAAGAAGCCGATCCCTTCGTCAGAGAGGTAACCTCCTCTGAAACGGCCCTGTTGATGGATGGGCACAAGTGTGGCCAGTCCCCCTTTCGTGGGTCTGGGGCCCTCAACCGGGGGGAGAAAAGTATGGTACCCTCTGGCTAAAGCCTCAATGCGCAGTTTTTTGGCACCTTCATCTCCCAAGTGCAGCTCCTGGATGAGAAGGGGCCCTTTTTGCGGCTGGTGCCATTTGAGGATATCCGGAGTCCACGCTGTGATGTTGGCACTGACAAACACAACGGACTCCTGGCACCGCTGGTGCTCCTGGGTCGCAAGGTCGTCCAGGAAAGCCGCGGCGGTGATGGGGTCCAACCATGAGTGGCCTTGCATGGCCTCGAGGATCTCGTAGGAGACCCGGTAGCCCAAGCTGGCCTCGTCAGTGCCTTCCAAGGCCTCAGCAAGGGCCAGCGCCTGGGTTCCGACTTGCTCCAGTCTTGGTTCACCCTGAGCTCATCCGCAAGCCCTGCAGCAAGGGCCTGAACTGTATTTGCCTCAGGCTTGAGGCTTGGGAGGGGCTTGCCCACATTCTCCCGGGAGCGTCTTGGAGGAGACCGACCAGGGGGGGTAGGGGGCCGCCGCCCAGGGCCACAGGGGGGGGAAGGAGGCGAGGTGGACCCCTGTTCCTTCGGACTGCCACTGGAGGGCTCGCGGATCCCTTCATTGTGAATTTCAGAGGGCATGATGAGTACTTCCCTCGGGAGATGCCCCCCGTGTACGGCCCTGCCCGCACCGACCCGCGTGGGAAGCGTCCCACACCTTTGGAAGGGACGAAGCCAGAGGGAGCCGCAGGCAGCGACAACCCCGAATAGGGGCGCCCAGGCCAGGGGAACCCTGCCTTCCCCCTGGCCCTTCCTGGGCCACGGGCCCCCAGGCAGATTTTGCAAGGGCAGCCGCCCAACCAGGCCCTTCTCCGCTCGTCATTGGAGGTTTTGCAGGCCTTTTCCAGCAATCAACTTGCTCTTTTACCGAGGGGGAGTGGTCTGCCACCCTACCTTGGCCAGGTGTCACACCAGAGTAGAGTTTTTTGCAAGTTTTGCAAGTTTGATCTGCACGATCTAGGCAGCACTCACCTGTTCTGCGCGCAGTGCAAAATCTTTCATAAAACCCCGGCGGCGCTGCGTTGGGAGTCAACGCCTGCCCGAGGCTTCATTGCGCCCTACCAGCCTCTTCCCTCGAGGCCTGGGCATGGCTTTTTGATTAGGGGTTGTGGGCCAACCACCCCCTTTTCTTCAACCCTGGCGCCGCAGGGTGTCCTCACGCCAACGTGTTGGGACAACCAGAGCGCCCAGGATTTCCCCAGACTCTCTGGGCCACAATTTTTTCCAACTGGTTGGGCCCTGGACCCTGAACAGGAGCCTCCCGCCCCAAGTGGTACCTTGGAGGTGCTGCCAAGGGGCATCAAGGCCCCCATGGGTTCGGGGTTCCTCCAGGCCTGTGCTATGCTCATCTGCCAGTCGCGCGAGGCTCACAGCACGGCTCACGGCCTACGTCCATGACTTCCTCTGGGAGTCCACTCGAAAACATCGCGCTGCCCACCGGGCCAGGATGCAGCGACAGGCCAACTCTCTTTTCTGGCACTCCTGGCCTCCTGGGCCCAGCCTTCATCTTGGCCCGGGTGGCCTCGTTGAGCTCGTGGCCGGCCTCCGAGAGAACCGCCTCTAGGGCGCTGAAAGCGGTGCTGGTGGAGTCCGCCGTCATCTCTTTGAAAGCCTTGGCCGTCTCCTGGATCTCAACATCCTTGGCCTTGATGTCCTTGTCAACCTGGTCCACGTCCCCAATAAGCTTTTCCAGCTCCTGCTTGAGCTTGTCCGCTCGTGCCTGGAGCTTGGCCTTTTTCTCTACCAGATTCTTCATCTGGTTGGTGGCCTTCTTAAAGTCGCTGACACACCTGGTCAGCTTCTCCTGGGGCGTGGGTTCTGGCTGGTCGAGGTCCTCATCTGGTGGAGGGGGGATTCCCGCGGCCTCCAAAAGGGTCTGGACGTGGAGCCCTGCCCCCGCGTAGACCACGGCCCTGGCAGCGTTGTACTCCTTCTCGGTCATCCTACCCTTAAGGAGGGACTGGAGGTCCAGTCCTGGCGGGGGAGGCGGTGGCCCTTTCGGCCGAGGTGGGCTGTACCCGACCTCCTGGAAGGCTTTCTGGGCAGCCTCAGGGAGGTCTTTCCAAAGACCCGCAAGTACCGCGCCGACTTCGCCACCTGGAGGGTTCTTGGAACCCTTGCCTTCTCCTTTACCCTTGCCTTTGGTGCGACCGTCCTCCCAGACAGCTCGGGGGCTCTGGGATTGCTCGGCACGGGCTTCCTTGCTTGCTTGCTGTTTGTTCAGCTGCTTCTGCCAGTTTCTGCCGCAGTACGCACAGTGGGTATTTTCCCCTGACTCGACCTGGCGTTTCCAGGCCCAGTGGTACCCACAGGCGCACGGGATCCACTTGGGAGTGCGCGGCATGGCTCCGAGCTGGTGTGGAAACCACTACCAGAAGTAGTGGCTGCAGGAAACAAGCAAGGAGTGGTGCCCACTTCCAAGCTCTAGTAGTGCACTCGGCAAGAGGAGGATCGACCTCACTCAGATCGTGCAGTGAACAGCCTACCGGGCCGCCCACCAAACCCTTGCCTGCTGTCAGGCCTACGACCTTTACCAGGTTGGGTTTAGGGCCTCTTTGGAACCTCTAGAAAAGTAGGCCCCAAGGCTGGCCACGACGGCACTGCAACGTCTGAGCCGAAAACTTGAGCCAGGAGCAAACTTTTCTCACACACGCTTCGCAGAAGCAGCCCGTAGGCCTGTCCGACATGCACAAATTAACTCCAAGTATTTTGGAGTCATCCGCATTTGCGGGCATCGCCAAAGTGGCGGCAGTGGCTACTCCTACCCGGAGCAAACTTTTCTTCCCGTGCGGACAGCAGATGCCGCGGCCGATGGCCGCCTTCCAACAACGAACCTAGAAACTGTACAGATCAACAGCACAACACTCTACACTACGCAACATCCGCATCGCAAGCGGGGACTGCACCACTACGGGAGTCCCACCAGCTCTCCCTAGGAAAGAAGGTGGGACTGTGGCACACAAGAGCGTAAGAGCAGCGCTGGACCATGCACCAAAGCTCAGAGGTGACCAGCATGGGCATCCAGGGAGCACAGCAAGCCTTGTAAGCTTAACAAGGCCACCAAAACAGACAAACAAGCCTGTTAGGTCTTGCTGTTGCATGCTTGAGCTAGCTGGACCACGAAGCAGGCGGGTGGGAGCCGACAAATTCAACGGGCATGCACGGCAAGCCACCTCGCAATTTCAATCCTTACAAGGACGCCAGCACCAGTGTAACACGAGACTGGTGTGCAAGAGGTCAAGGAGCCCTGCATACAAGCAGAGCTGTGCAGCTTAAGGCCCTGGTGTTGCCAGAATGGCAACTTGTGCAAGAGAGTTCGCCGAAAACCAGCAGCAGCAGCCTTTGTACACTTTCTACACCTAACAAACTACCGCCGACTGTACACAGCGCCACAAGTGATCGCATGAACACGCCAAGTGCCCACGCCATCACCTGTGAGTTTCCAGCGTAGTTTTTGACAAGTTTCGGACCAGAAAACCAAAACCGTGCCCAGCACAGGTAGCAGCTGTAGGCAGTGAGGTGGCCTTAGGAAGAAGTGCACATATTCATCAAACCACCGGGTGATACCCGACTGCTGCTCACCATGGGATCGCATGCAAGGACAGTGCCAGCAACGGCAGCAGCTGCAGTGGCCAAGGCCACATACACGTGACCACGTAACAAGAGTTACACATACACCTATTTTTATTGCAAACCAAGCGCCTAGCAGGCTCAAGTGGAAGGCAGCGCTAATGCAGCCAGCAAGGCGCAAAAGCGGCACATCTCAACCACGATGCTCACGTAAAGGGCAACTTGGCTTGTTTTGGCGTAGGTTTGGATTTGCCTGAGCTGTTGGGCTTCGCCACCATGATGTGGCAAGATGTTATCCAACGGCCATTACAAAACATCACAGTTGTTCTGTTGCTAAGGCCCGAAGTCGGGTAATGCATATTCATCAACCAGGCAAGGAAGCATGCGATCACAACCCAACCACCGGCGGGACTAGCCTAAACCTATAACCCTAAGGCATAACAGGCGGGTGCAGCCAACAGCGCACACCGAGCATGTGACCTGTAGGGCAGCAATTGAGCATGCGGAAAGGTAGCCTACATCAGATGAAAGCCATGGCGAGCGTTGTTGCAGCCATCAGTCGCATGACCATCGTGGACCGCCAATGACACGGGTGCAGCCAGCAAGCGCACTCCAGCTTCCACCAGACATGTTTGAGGTTGCTTTTTTTTTTTTGGAAACCCTAGCCCAACCCTCGAAACAGCCCGAGAAGCTCACCGAAACGACAAACGGGTCTGTTTGGAGGTGTCCTTAGACTTGGCTTTGGGCTTGCACTTAGGTTTGGGCTTAGGTTGGGCAGAGCAGGGGAAAACAGAACTGCCACCGCCTTGCTGCACAACCTCCGCAGGGATTGACTCTTTGGCCTCAAAGGATTCCTCAATGGACCGGCTCGTATCAGCTTCAACCTGGGCCATGGAACGCACTCTCGTTTGGGCGTTAAGTTTACGCCCGAGCCCTTTGCAAGTGGACTTCATGACCGACGACGACGAGGTGGCACCAAGTTTAACCATGGCAAGACACTTGGAGCACATAAAGAAAGAACCCTTATTAACCATGTCATGACTGCCATGTATGCCCCAGCAGGCGGGAACCGGGGCAGCTCTGTCGCGACAAGGATTGGACATTTTGCGATCAAAAACCTCGGGAGGGTTACACTGCTCCACATAAAGCTGGCAAACGGTGCACTGGATCGCAAAATTGTTGCTGGCTTTGGCCTCACAATCCTTCCAAACATGACCCAGCCCAGGGTCCGGGTTGGCGAGAGCCTCCTTAAGGCGTTGTTTTTTGTTGGGTTTGGGCTGACTGCTGGGCTTGGACCCGCCTTTGGGCTTACCAAACTTGCCCTGGGAAAAGATCGAGGGCTTAGCATCCTGGGGCGAAGGCTGGGAGTTGAGGCACCTATCAAAAACCCAAGGGAAACCCTTATCTTTTTTGTGCTTGAGGACAAAGCCAATTTTCTTAGCCAGGTGCAGGCAAATTTCTTCACAGAGCCCATCAAGAACAGGAAGATTCGGCTTAGTCGCTGATTGGAACACTTGCGCAGCCCTTTTGCCACATAAAGAATCAACATCCTCGTTCAGCAAACGCCGCCATTCAGGGATGCCTTTTTCAGCATAATAGGAAGAGTCTTTATGACTGGGCACCCAAGTGATATTAGCCCTTGACCTGTCACCCCAAATTTCACCCCAAGGGACCGGGCCTTCAAGGGGCGGCATGTTTTTCCGTAGAATGTGTGTGATTGCCTGACAGTCAACCGTCAAGTCGAAAACACCGGAGACACGACCAAAGAGCTCAAAGGCAGCCTGTTGTTCCGCACTGGCCACCGACAGGGGCTCTTCAGGAAAGCACGTGATGCTAGCAACACGCTTCGGCCCATCCGGTGCAAGCTCATATGCCGCAATGGCCCAAGCAACACATGCCGCGCGGTGGTCACGGGCAACTGGTCCACCCGACGCATCTGAAGCAAAAACAAGATTATCACTATTAAGGACCCGTCGGCTGCTCCACAAACCCTCACAAACCAAACCCTTCTGCTTATCCGTACCTCCCAGCGACGTGGCACGCTGTGGCAACAAACCGCGCAACCAAAGACATGGCCACGGGAAACTGCGGCGGGAGGCCGGGAAATGCGGTGGTTCAGGATACTTAGAAACAAGAAAAGGGCAGTCCCACAGAACATGCTGTAAGCTGAGAGGACAGGCACACAGTTTACAGTACCCGGGCTTATTCTGACCTAAAAGTGCTCCTTGCCAAAGGGCTTGCAAACTAGTCGCCATACTCTTATTGAAGAATTTGCGCTTAAGCAAGCGGTGAGGGACCTTCAAGTCGACTCCAGAGGCTAAGGATTCACAGGCTTCCAGATGAGATATACGAAGCAGCCTAGCGGCCTCCCACTTAGGCAAAAGCCAATGCCACACCCGACGGGTGGCGTCAACACTGGCCCAATCAATGATAAGGAGACACTCGCCGCACGTCCAACGGTGGGACTGGGGCGCTTGCACACCTAAATCCATCAAGTATGCCAAAGTGGCCGCCAAGGGCCCATTGACGCGCTTCCAAGGTTGGGGCGACTCTGAAAGCCAAGCCCAAATGTTGGCCCAAGTCGATCTGAATTTCTCCGGGTCCGAGATCTGCCAACGACGGAAAACCCTGGCAACCGCTCGAAAATGCTGCTTCAAAATGGTGAGGTGCGGGTCCTCACACTTGTGACGCAACAAAAGGAAAGAGACATCAAGCGAGCCTAACTTTTGGCGGCCGATGGCCTTGGCACAAAGAGTCCTGTACCACTTACGCCGCTTAGGACTGACGCCTGCAGCCTGATGCCCCCAAAGACCTGCAGAGCATATGGAGGCCCGGGTAATGCGCACTTTATGTGAAAAGTTGGCAAGGCCCAACTTGCGCAGTTTAGACGCCCTGCCACTGGCCTTAGCTCGCCTCATCTCAGCTAAACCCAAAACCCTGCGGCGTGCACCCCCCGATGTGACACCTAAGTCCCTGGCAAAGGTGCGGACTTCAGGGTCTGTGTCAACTCTGACAGCCTGCAAGCATTTAGCCGCTTTAGAGGACGATGCAACAAATGAAGTCTTATCCAATGACAACTTGGCACCAGTTGCCTCGATGCTGGTACGCAGGCTGCGAAACAGCAGCACAGCGTCTGAGGCAATCTGCTTGGCCGAGGCACCGACACAGTCAAGGGACAGATCATCTATCCATACGTCCAAATTGGATGTCGCACGCTTGGAAGTGGCCGCAACTGCAATGGGGTGCACAACAAGTTTGCTGATAGAAGGGGCGGCCGGGCACCCAGCCAGGACCCCCTTCGTGGGAGTAATGGCCGGGCACAAAGACCCTTCAGATTGAAGAAAACGCGGGCCCATGTACGTAAGAAGGGCCTGGTGCAATACCAGGGGAGGGTACCCCAAAGAAAGGCCAGAAGAAATGACATCGTTAAAACGGCATCTATCATAGAAAGTCTCCATATCAATGAAAATTGTAACTAAGTGCTGACCGGACTGTCTAGCCGCCTCGCCTCTAAGTAAGCGTCCCAAAGCGACGTCCAGCACTTGACTCCCAGGCATTGCCTTATCCCAGACCGCGGCTTTACAGTACTGGAATTGCCAATCGGAGACCAATTTCCACCTCATGCGCACCCAAGTGCGGTAAAGCACGTGCAAAAGTGCTATTGGTCTCTCCCGCTTCTCGCTTTTTGGGAGGAGGGCTATAAGTGCAAACACCATCTGGGCAGGCCAAGTGGCCTCAGTTTCACAGTGGTGAAGAAATGAAATGATGGATGCAACAGCCGGTCGCTGCAAATTTTTTAACATCTCAAATGTCCACCCGTCTAGACCTGGTGCTTTGCTGGGCACTCGCTTGAACGCCGCAACCGCCTGATCTAGGGGAATCGGCCCAAGCTCCTTGGCCTGCATTCGGGCACGTTGCCTGAGATCACTGAGGAGCGCCGGGTCGACCCCACCCGGCGCGGACCAAAGCTCAAACCACTGCCTCCACCTAAGGTAGATGCGCTCCTGCACAGGCTGGTGCAAGAAAGGGCGCAGCTGGACAGCTTCATCCGCTTTAACACTGGTAAAAAGGCCACGCAAGCCTTTACACGAAGCCTGCTTTAGCCACTTACCGTAGCTTGCGCTCTGCTTCTGCATCCACAATTTGGAATGGTGACGAAATTGTTGCTCCGATACCTGAATCAACTCTGGAAAAGCCGAAGGCGTAACACCTTTAAGAACAGCATCGAGCTGGACTTGGAAAACACTGAGCTCGGCTGTGGATCCGTGCCACATCAATTCAAGCTGCGACCAAAATGTGTGGCCAAAGGGTGCAGGACAACTCCGCTTCACCGAAAGTTCCAGCCAAACAAGGACCCGCTTCCAGAAAGAGGCCTGAGCCCCCCCCCAAGCACCCACAGGTGAGGTATGGCGCAGGAGTTTGTCACGGCGAAATTTGGGCAGGCAGCCTCGACCTTGAGTGCAGCCATAGACCGATAACTCAACAGAGCTACTGAGCTGCTCAAAGGTATGTGTGAGGGCCGGCTCAGGTATGGAGCCACCCCAGTGCCCGGCACAGGCAGACTCCAGATCAGGCTGAGGGCCAGAGCAACCTGCCAAAGGAGGCTCAAAGGGTTGCGGCATAATGGGCATCGGCTTGAAACCCACAAGCTGGGGAAACCTCAACTCGCACTGCCTCCTGTCAATGCACCAATGTAAGGCAGCATGTGGAGCAAACGGAGTGATCCAGTCAGCCCGGACCGAAACTCCCAAGGCCAGCCCTTTGGAAACTAAACCAAAATCAATGTTACCACCCCCTGTGCACGTGGAAGCCCCCGTATGGACCCATTGGCCCCGAGCTTCCTGCGCCAAACTGGTGGTCACCAGAACACTGATGTCTTCGTTGAAGTCGCCTGCAACAAGGAATTCACCTTGCAGCGACCTAAGGAAGGGAATCAAATTGGAAAGAATTATGGCATTAGTCGGGCCCCGGAAACCCTCCCCTGTCTTCAAGTAAACATTGACGAGGAAGAAATCAACACCCCGGATGCGCAGAACAACAGACTGAAAACCAACACCTTGGTGAAGGAAGTGGTGGCTTTTGCGGACATCAAGGTGCTTCTTAAACACAATCGCAAGGCCTCCTGAGTTACCACCTCCCCCAGTGGGGTGACCTGGCAAGCTGAAGGCCTGATAGCCAAAGGCCCCAACATGAGTGGCCAGCAAATCCCCTTGCTCCTCCTTAATGTGTGTTTCCTGTACCAGCCAAAGGTCTGGCCTGATCCCCGCAAGAAAGGTTGCTAAGGACTTGCGCCACTTGGTGACATTGGAGCTGACTAACAGCAATTTCTTTCCGTCGGCATTGGAGTTAAGATTTGCGATGACATCCCTGATAGCCGAGGCTGCAACGTGCCAAGGAACATCATCACCGGCTTCAACAGCAAGCTCAGCAGCAAACCAGGGAAAGGTATCTTCAAGAATATATTGGCCCGCCTCTAGGGCCTCCACAGCTTGAAGCACTTGCACATGACACATATGCTCCAGCCCTTGCAGCAAGCTGGCCCAAAGGGCCGAAACCCCTGGATCACCAGACTGAGCGAGAGCACTGCCCGACCAAGTTGAATGCACAAGCACCTGGTCAGCCTGAGAGCAGCCTGCAGGGCGCACAGCAACGCCTGGTGGGGACATCGTATGTCTTTGGTCACCAGCCTCAGGGCACGCTGGAACCGGATCATCATGAAAGTTCGGGCCACACCCGGAATTCTCAGACAACGGGATGTATTGCTCCCTCCAGGGTCCTCGGCCAGCGGCCGCACCTCCTCCTGCGGGCCAATCCTCCGCCTGTGTGATATACCCACCTCCTGGACCCTGGAGGGAAACTCTATTAAGGGAAGCAATCCCAAAATTCCGACCCCCAGGACCCTCGCCCAGCGGGCACACCTCCTCCTGAAAGAAACCACCACCACTATAACAACCACCCTCCTCCTGGGCCCTGGGGGCCCTCATGGCATCAAGATTGGCAGCCGCGCAACCCAAAAGATGCTGGTCCTGGTCAGGCCGCCCGTGCAATTCACCAGTGATGCCGCAATGCCCAGGAGTAGCATCCCAGCAATCAAAATTGGGGCTAGGGTCCCAAGACTGGGAGACACACGGGGTAGGGAACGGAAATGAAAATTCATGGCCAGCCTGCGACCTGTAGCCGTCAACTTCAACCACTTCTGCATGGACCGAAGCAACTGCACAAGGGTCAAGCAAATCACCACCGTGAGAAATCGGATCAGAAAAAGTCCCTGAACCCTCAAGCACGTGTCGCAATCGGCGGTTGAGGCGCCGGCGGGCCCGTCTGGATACAGGGGCTTTCCGATTCGTGGAAGGCCCATACGAGAGTGCTCTGATACATGTAGGCCTCACAGTTGCGAGCTCCTGCGAACCAGACACCTCGCCCTGTTCATCACACTCCTGAGCAGCACTGGCAGGAAAGAAACGTGGACCTGACAAGTCAGCGGATATGTGAGGCTGGCCCTCGGTGCTGGTGGGGCGGTCCGCCCAGCGACACAAACACCCTGGGCAGTAGCAGAGTACATCACTGACAGCCGTGGCAAGGTCCTCACATGGACGGTGTAACATGACCTGGCTGCTGGCTGAAAGAAAACTCCTAATCCAAGGAAAATCCTGCTGACCAAGCACTGCATTCTGGCCACAACTCAAACAAGGAGGCCACCCTTGCACAAGCTCTTCAAGCCCCGATGCATATCCACTCGCAAAGGCCAAATTGGGGTTAAGGAAAACTCCCGAAGGCGCACACGGGTTCGGGCTAGAAATGGGCCTGGACTCAAGGGTGCCTTCATGCCTCCGGGCGGAAGCACAAGCACTCCAGCACAGTGGCAAAGTGGACGGCCTGTGGCGGAAGACCCTGGCCTGCACTCTGTAATCAAGGATCCTGGGCACAGGTTGGCCTGAAAGCGCACACGGCGACAATGAAAACTCTCACTCTGACTCGGCATGCAGTGCTGGCACAAAGCTGGCTCGGGAGGCCTAGGGGCAAAGGGGGGCACTGACATAGGCGTATGGCAGCATGCACAACACAAGTCCTGACATGCAAGCTGCATCGCCCCTTCTTTCAAGCCCGAATTTCGAACCGAAGACCTAGCAACCCAACCTTGCGCCACCGAAGGCTCTGCCGAGAATGAGTGCGCAGCAAAATGAGGAGTAGCACAGCTTCTAGCCGACGCCACCTGAAAGCAAGGATTACAAACGCACATGCTGCTGGACCCAACGTGGAAACTCACACTTCGTGAGGACGCCAGGGGCGCAACACAGAGCGAACATGTTGTGTTGACAGCGGTCTGCTGGTTTTGCAAAATCTGAGGAGCGGTGCGGGTCTGGGGCCAACAAGGAAAAGCAGGAGCCTCAGGCACATGCAAGTCACTTCCCAAGGAACTCGTAACCCTTACCCAGGAAGAGAACCCCGGAATCCTCCTAAAATCCCCGGAACCCAGACCCTCACCTGCATCCTACAGATCCTCCTTCTCAGCGGCAGCCTCATGCGTCTTTCTTGGCGACCTGGATCTGGTGCCACGCTGTCCGTTCTGCGCTGGCTCAGATTTCTTGGGCACCTCTTGCGTGTTGGGTGCTGCGGCCTTAAGGTCAAAAGCCTGGCTGTCAGGGGGTCCATGTGTGCCGGCACGCACTGCGGCAATCTTTGCTTCCTGCTCTTCAGTCAAGGAAATCCCAAACTTCTCAAGAAACTGCGCAATTTCGCCGTTCAAAGATTCATCTTGGGCCAGGACTTTGGTGGTAAGCTCCTCGCCCGCATCTGCAACCTGTTGCTGCGCCTCTTCAATTTTGGTCTGCAACTGTTTCATCTCGGTCAGTCTTGCGTTGTATTGCTCCTTAGCTTGGTCGATACGCTTCTGCAAGCTAATCTTCTTGTCTCCAAGCAATTTCAGTGCAACCGTGGCCTTACGAAAAGCTGCATTTGCTGCGGTTCCAACTTCATAAGAGGTGGGAGCCGGAGTTTGCTCCGGCGGCTTGAGGCCTGCCTTGAGCATGAGCTCTTTCTGCTGCTCCGTGGCTTCAGACCACAGCTTCTGCTTAGCCTCGCAGGCCTCAGATGCATCCATGTCAACATCAAAATCGCCGAGACCCGGAGGCGGAACAACCGCTGCCGCGGATGGAGGCCTCCACCCGGCTTCTTCGATCGCCAGTCGGGCTTCGGGAGTCAACTTCTCCCACACTGTGTGCAAAGCGAGTGCCGCCTTGCCGGGCTTTCGCTCCTTACTCTGCCTGGGCGGCCTAAATGAGGTCTCAGATGCCTCATCACCGCTCTGTACAAACCTAACCTTAGGCTCTGCCTGTCGAGGCCACGCTGCACCACAAACTGCACAACACGGGTGGGCTGAAATGCGATCAGCATACAGCCAGCTCTCTTTGCACTTCCTGCACACGACATACGGCCGGAAGCGCGACATGTCCGCACTGACTTGCACCAGTCCTTGTGCGTCTGCTGCCGTCCTTCAAGAAAACTGTACGCAAGAAAGTTTGGCAACAAAGGGCGTTTTTGCAAGCAAGGCCCTCAAAACAAACTTTTCCAAGAAAATCAAGCGATCTGTGCAAGCAAGATGTTTCAAGGTTTCAAGTTGCAGCGGTGTTCAAGCAGATGGCGCAAAGAGCGCCTGACAAACTACGGCTCCCGCCCAGCCCTCGCCGGCTAATCCGGCCTACGACCTCTACGAGGTTACGTTTGGGTTCTGTTCGAGAGCACTAGAATGCAGGCCTCAAGGCTGGCCACGCCGGCACCTCAGTTTGAGCACTCACGGCAACTTGAGCCAGGAGCAAACTTTTCTCTCGAAGCGGTCTGCAGACGCGGCTCCAAGGCCAGGTGAAAAGGACCTACAAACTAAAGCAACACTGATCTACAGAGCAAACTGTCTACGGAAGTCTCGCCCTGTCACCCGGAGGTAACAGAGCGAGACTGTTGCACACAGACTGGACCTTGCGTTGCAACGCATAACGGTGCACGAGCCACGAATATCAACGGGCATGCAGGCAAGGTGCACCGCATTGCACACTCTCAAAGGAGCCAGAGTAGAAGCTCGGCACAAGGGACGTAAAGTCCAGTACCAGGTCACTTGCCCAGTCGCTTCGTCCAGAGCCCAGCCACTCTCCAAAGACCAGCAGCAGCAGCATTTGTACACTTTGTACAACTAGCCAAAAGCTACAGCCAGCCTAGCAAAACTACACCTTCCGCTACTGTACACAGCGCAGCAAGCAGTGGTATGAGCACGCCTAGTGCTCACACCACTCCTTGCATCAGCAGCCCAAGGGAGTAGCCTCCATTCACGTGTCACTGAACCCACTGCTCAGACGGAGACTCGATGCCGGCTTTTCAGTCCAGCCGACATTGGACTACCCAAACAGCATGCCTAGCTGCCATCAAGAATGGCCTGAAAAGCGAGACCTGAGTTCACAGAAGGCCCAAAGTCGAGTACAAGTGGCATATTCATCAGAAGTTCTGCAGCATTGACAAGGGCTGTGGGAAAGTTGGGTGTAACAGGCGCATATCTAGACTTTCCAAGTTTGCCGTTTTGGTGTGTTCAAGTCCTGACTATAAGGGTGCAGCCAACAGGGCGCACACCTAGGCTCAGAAGAATTGCCACAATCCATTTGCCCTGGTAACGAAAAGCTCCAGGTGGAACATTCCCCATGAGGCCCGGAGACGGGAAAGGCATATTCACCAACCAGGCAACCTGTGTGTTGGGTGCAGCATGCCAGCGTACACATCCAACTTCAGCTTTAATCTGCATTTGGACCCTCCTCGCACACGAGGCCACCAAAGGGATCATAGTAGTCCGGATTTTTTTTTTTGTAAGGGTGCAGCCAACAGGGCGCACACCTATGCAGCAGACCCCAGGCTTTAGCTGTTACAGTGGAAAGCAGCCTAATAGGTTGCACTCCCAGCGAGGCCCGAGTCGGGTACAAGGCATCTTCATCAACCCAAATTGAAACGACAGGCATTACGGGTGCTGGCGACAGCGCACACCGATGCATTATCAAAGGAATTTAACCCTGGACATGTGTCCAAACCATCAAAGACGTACTCCCCACAAGGCCCGAATTCGGGTGAATGGCATATTCATCAACCCAATTGTAAATTTTTGGGTGCAGCGGGCAAGCGCACACCAGCTGGGGACTTGCCAAGTGGGGACTATGTTATGACACCGACCTTCAAAGGGAACCTTTCAAAAGGGCTTCACACCGCCTACTTGAAGGAAAGACGTGTTTGTTGTGCGGAGTCTTTGGACTTTGCTTTGGGTTTCCCTTTGGGTTTAGCCTTTGCCTTAGCTTTACTAGCAGGTTGTGGTACTTGGGCATTGGTTTCACTAGCAGCAACCTGGGGCTGACTTTGTTGCCAGACTGCCTCGATTGATCTGCTACCAGAGCTCTCCACTACAGACAAAGTGCGCGCCTGTGTTTTGGAGTTGATCTTGCGTCCGAGGCCTTGGCAGGGAGCTTGAAGCACCGCTGAAACTGAGGTTGATGCGATTTTTGCAATGCCAAGACACTTAGTGCAGGTGAAAAACGATCCTTTGTTATCCATGTTGTGAGTGGAATGTACTTTCCAAGACACAGGCATACAAGCTGAAATGTTCACACATGGGTGGGACGATTTGCGATCGAAAATTTCAAGAGAGTTGCATTGTTCAATATACAGTTGGCACACAGTGCATTGAATAGCAAAGTTATTGACCGCTTTAGTTTCGCAAGCTTTCCAATCATGACCCAAAGTGGAATCAGGGTGTGCCAACATAGCCTGCAACCTCTGTTTTTTGTTGGGCTTCGGTGGGACCTTAGTCTTAACAAAAGCTTGTCCCTGCCTTACCAAGTGTTGTCTCTCTGTGTCACCCGACACAGGCCTGTTGACAGGGCATCGAACGGCCTGGGATGCAGCACGATGGGGCATGGCTCGTTGGGACTGTGACTCTCGCTGACTGGCTAATCTCGCCGCTCCTCGTTTTTCTTCAAAAACCAAGGGGGCAGGATCTTTTTTGGAAGTCAACAAAACCTCCACACGTTCCGCAAGAAAAGTCGAGACCTGCTGAGCTAGACGGTCCAACTCCTGCACATCATTTTTAAAGTTGACATTAACAAGGGTTGCAGCAAGCTTACCACATTTATCATCAGCTAAAGTGTTGGCCTTCATGCGCCACAACTGGTCAGCCCCAAACTCCTTTTTGAAAGCATCTGCAGATTGGTGCGACCGAACCCAATGACAATCAAGATTATCAAGTCTATGGGATTTCTTAATGGCCGTTTGACAGTCACATGTGACATCTGCAAAGCCATCGACATTATCAGCTAGGAGTCGCAACGCATGTGTTTCGCCTTCTGCAACCGACGAGCCGACTGGAAGAAAACCTGTGATTGATGCAACGCAGGTGAGCTCATCACCTTCTTTAGTTAGAGCCAACAGCGCAAAGGCAACGATACGTAAACGGGAGTCAACACTATCCGGCCCTCCTGAGGCATCAGTGCTGAAAACATAAGACGATGCACTCAGCTTGCTGTTGGTCGTCCATAGACCTTCGCGTTGCAAATGCAAGGAAGACTCTGGACGATGCTGCCTCGTCCACTTTTGGGGCACAAGCCCTCGCTGCCACAAACTGTCCGAAGGCCATTTTTGCTTGAGCTCAGCCCAATGTTCAGGTGGGTCGCGATGGCGCCCGGCCCAGTAATTGCATTCAAGGAGTACGTGCGACCATGAAGCATCGCAATGGCAGAGCGGGCATTGTTGAGTGCCCCCATTTTGGTTATGAAGCACTGCGCCTTGCCACAAAGCTTGAAGCCACTTCGTGGTGCGCTTGTGTTTGGTTTCACGCTGTGTTCTGGTCCTGTGGCTGGCCCAATCAACACCGTCGGCAAGGAGAGGGTCATCCACAAACGCCGCAATACGGGCATGCCGAAGTTGTAGAAGTTTTGCTTTAACCCTCTCACACAGGAGTGCCTTAAAACCGGGTTCCTTCCAAGTGCAGGCAAAATCCTCACCATCCCAGTTCCAATGCTCCAAACTGTGAGCATCGATCTCAAGTTGCATGAGATAGGCTTGCGCAGCCGCCATCGGGCCAGAAACACATTTCCACGGGTGCGGCGAAGCCTGGAGTCGGCTCCACGTGCTGCTCCAAGAAGTTTTGAGCTGACCCCACAGTGTCTCCGGCCATCGAAGAAAAACCTTAGCAACCGTGGCAAAGTGCTGTGTTAAGATAGTGATAAGAGGGTCCTCAAACTTGCTATGCAAATCGAAAAGCAAATCAAGGCTGCCAAGCTTGTGTCGCTGCAACTGCTGCGCAGCACACCCTCGCAGCCACTTCAAACGCTTCGGAGAGATACCCTGAGCCTGATGACCCCAAGCAGCAGAGGCGAAAATGCCTCCTTTGTACAGTCTCCACTTGTGGGACAAGGAGGGAACTTTGAGCGATCGCATACGCCCTGCTCTGGCCTGGCCCTTTGCTTGACGAGCCTTTGCAACTGTAATCCTGCGACGACGTGCTGCAGAGTAATCCGTTCCTAAGTCGCGCGCTAGGGACATGATAGGCGGGTCGTCAGGGCCTAAACGCTTTTTTAAAGATTTTTCGGATGGTGAATCCGTGCAGACAAAACACGTTTTTGCGATGGACATGTGGAGTCCATCCTGCTGCAAGGCATGCTTCAACAAGTGGTATGATTGAACAGCCCGATGTGCCGTCTTCTCTGCTTGAGCGCCTTCAGTATCTACACTGACATCGTCCAACCAAGCCGTGATGTTGTCAGCAAGTTTGGACTTGTGCAATGAAGAAAGGCTCGGGAATAGTGCCAGTTTGGCAATTGCTGGCGCATAGGGGCATCCGGCCATGAGGCCGGATGCCCCGAAGCATCTGGGCGAAACAACACTATCCGAAATGATGTATCTGGCCCCTCTGTAAACTTTCAAGGCAGTGTCGGCACACAGTGGCGGAAAGTTATGCAGCAGGGCCTGCTGGGGAGCAAACTTTTCATTCCGGTGGCGCGAGAAGTCCACGGCCAGAGGCCTGTCCGAAGAAACCCTAAAGCATGCATTAATTAAAACTGGCTGTAGCAAAGCCAGGGCTAAGCGAGTACGCCTTGAAGGCTCCAGTACAACCAGTAGCCTCAAAGCCCTATTCAAAATCAGAAGGCTGTACAGGAAGGTGTATGGCTCAAGTAACCTCAGGCCCCATTGGGCGAGGTAGCGGCTGAGCGACCTTCATAACTAACTCACTTAGCTCAGTTGGCGGCCAAGAAGAAAGGAGACCGTGCAGCTGCAAACCAAAGTAGCTGCAAAACAGGTGTGTCAAGCAGGTTTACACTGTTGCAGTGCAAACAGAGGGATGGGCAGCAGGGTACACACCTGCACACACTGCACACTCTTGCACGGAAGGCCCCCCCCCCCTGTTGACTACACGTACCCTGTACTGGCCCTGCACAAGCTTCAAGAGTACGAGCCTCAGCCCAGCTGGCGAGGCGTGGTCCTGTACGAAACAGCGAAGCGGCAAAAGCTTTCGTGTTCCTGCTGTCAAATCTCCTGCTTCTTAAAGGCACACCTGAAGAGATAGATCAACTGCCAACTAGCTCTCAAAGCAAAGGCTCAAAGCAAAGGCTGGACACTCGGGCTGACCGGACCGAGGATCCTGCAGAAAGCGGGGCTCCTGAGCACCGCAAGCCTGCCAGAGCACGGAGAAGCGGAAGCAGGCAGGCTGCGAAGCAAAGGCGATGCTGAAGTGCAGTGCTCGAAAACCATTTTGCAGAGCAACAAGGCTGTCACGGCCTGTTGCGGGACCTTTGGTCCAGGTCAGTGCCCAGGCTGAGCTGCACCCTGCCACAGCCTCGGGCCCTCAGCCCTAAGGCGAGGGCCCAGGAGGCAGTGAAAAGCAAAAGTTCAGGCGGCCTTCCACTCGACGGCCAGAGCAGCTTGACTCACCTGGTAGGCTAGTCACCAAGGAAAACTCCCTGCTGTAGCAGGCACCACTTGTAGTGCTGCGTAAGGAGTGGTCGTAGCCGTTGCAGCACCTCCTCAGGCGAGGCGTTGCTGACAAGCTGGAGTAGCTCCTGAAAGTGGTCTGGAACACTCCTCTTGACCGCGCTCCAGAAAGCCGAGGCACGCTGTCTGTTCGGCCAGTGTGCCCTTTGACCCTCCCATGGAAGCCAGTCTGCGGTGTCCCACATCATAATGAAGCCACGGGCATCAACACCAAAGTTGAAAAAGCCAAGATCCTTGAGATTGTAGAAACGGGAGGCCTCCGCAGTCAGTGCCATCATGTAGCGGACCATATCAAGGTCCGGCGGAGCTGGCCTCCACACCGAAAGTGGAGTGAGCCTAGACTGCCTCAAAACATGCGTGGGGATGATATCATAGCAGCTCTTCCAAGAGAGCGTGAGCAGGTGAATACCCGCATCCAAAGTGCACGGCACTATATAAGGGAGCAGTCTCCAAACTTCCGGTTCTGGCCCGTGGCCTTGTGGTGGCGCCAACTTCAGAACGTGTTCCGAGGAGCCAGGGTCAACGTAAACTGTCCGGGACTTTCCGAAACCCAGCCGTCTCGCTCGAGCAGCTTTTGTTCGCCCACCTGTGACAAAGTCATGGTAAACTTCAAGGCTTTCCGGAAGGCACTGGTAGTGGTTCACCGGATGCTTCACCTGGGGCGCAGCTACACATAAGAAAGTGATTAGGCCATCCTCATGAAGAAGAGGGCCAAAGCCACTTGGGCGATCTTTCAGCGCGACTGCAGGCTGTGGTGTCTCACTGCTGTCAGATTGAAGACAGTTGCTGGAGTCGTCCTGGTCCACCGGTGGCTCTTCAGCTTCTGGAAGTCGTTGCAAAGGTAAGCCTTGGCTGCTGGATGCAGCAGCAGTAGGGGGTGGAGCCCTCAGCCCTAAAGGCGAGGGGTCCTCCCGTGCTGGGCCCCGGCTGCTGGAAGCAGCCGCAGTGGAGGGAGCCCTCAGCCCTGAAGGCGAGGGCTCCTCCGAGTCGTACGGCGGCTCTTCATCTTCACGATGTCTCGCCTCCGCACGAGGTCCTGGTGGAGGTGATGGGGGCGGCCAAGCCTCCTCAGTTCTCCTGCCAGCGTGCTCATTTTGTGCGCGGCGCTTCTGCTGTTTGCGGGCTTTCTTACGTCCCCGCTGTCGGTCTATCGTCGCCGCTGATTTCCATGATAATCCCCGCTCCTCACGGCGGAGTTGCGTGGATATGTGCCGCCCTTCTTGCTTAGGCGCCATGCTTAGCAGGCCTTGGGCCTAAAAGCGAAGGGTGCGCTGTGTTGGGTCAGCCTTAGGTTTTGTTTTGGGTTTGGGTCTAGCTGGGGCCTTAGGCTTCACTGGCGGAACAGCTGCTGGCATGCCTAACTGAGATCGCAAACCTACATAAACGGACTGACCAGCTGCTCCTTGCACTCCTGTGGACTGAGTGACCTCGCCTTGGCACTCCGGCAACCTTGGGGCAGCCGCTGCAGAGGAGGCGACGGGCCCAGCTGAAGGGTTGACCTGGGCAGCGCTCAAAAGGCCAAGCTTAGGAACTGCAGAAACACGCTCTGGCATAGGGCCGGCACCGGAGGTGCTGGCAGATTGAAAAGCACTGGCAATAGATCGGGTGGAGACTCCACCAACCTGTGCCAAGGCGCAAGCCTTGGTGCCACTGTTTACTTTACGCCCTAAGCCTTTACATGCAGACTGAAGAAGGGACGAGGGCGAGACCGCGCCAAGTTTTACGCAGGCCAAACACTTGGCACACAAAAAGTGAGATCCTCGATTATGCATGTCATGGCTGGGGTGTATTTTCCAACTGGGCGGCACAGCCGCAGCAACACCACGGCACGGGTGTGTAATTTTTCGATTGAAAACATCAAGCGCATGACATTGTTCAATATATAAATTGCATTTTTCGCAATACACCGAGAAGTTGTTTGCGGCCTTAGTCTCGCGGGCTTTCCAATCATGACCAAGTGCTGGATCAGGGGAGTCCAGCAACTGCTTCAGGCGCTGTTTTTTGTTAGGCGGCGGGACTTTAGTGCTTGCAGACACAGCTGCAGCTTGCGACCGAGGCTTGTCAAACTGGCTTAAGGAATCTCTAGCGGAGCGGGGAACAAAACCCTGGGCTTTTTCCTTGATCAGCTTCTCAGCCCTGGAAAACAGTTGAGTTCCCGGGTTACCAGGTCGAGTTCCTTTACTTTGCGTACAAAATGCGGGGTGCATGCAGCAGCAGCTCGGCTCCCTGCGAGAGTGTCTGCTTTGGCATTGAGCTCGCGGCGCCAAAGCTGACCAGGGAATTCAGCCTCAAAGGCCTCAGCCGTGCAGTGGCTCCTAACCCAGTGCGGTTGAGCCCTTGCTCGCTCCTGCCAGACTGGACCCCATTCAGGGATATGTTTTTTGTTGAGAGCTCTGGCAGCCAGGGCTTTGAGAGCCGGCTTGCAATCACCTGTGAGGTCAAAGCTGCCAGCGGTGGCCTTGAGGGCTTCAATGATTGCGAGGGACTCCCCCTGAGGCACCGTGCTGCCCGGCGGAAGAAGGCCTGAGATGGTTCCGTGCTCAATAAGGCCATCAGCGCGGAGTTCGCAAAGCACGACCGACCACCCTACAGCCCTAAGGCGAGGGTCGTGGGTATTGGGACCTCCGCTAGCATCAGTACCTATGAGGAGCCCAGTAACATCAACCGGCTGATGACAAAACAGCCCTGTCACCCTGGTTTCCAAAGCTGAGGCCGAGACCTGCGGGGTCGTCCAAGCCTTTGGGACCATTCCTCGTAGCCAGAAGCAGGGGTCGGGGTGTTTGCGCTGAAAACTACGGAGGGCCGGGCTTAACTTAGCAGGCGCAAGCGGGCACTCATAGTAGACATGGTGCAGGGTATTCTCAGCCCCGCATGCGCAATGCGAAAACCCCCCGTTCCCAGCGTGCAAGGTGCGTCCTTGCCACACGGCGTGAAAAGCCCATCGCGGGGATGAAAGCTTGGAAACCTTCAAGAGCTTTCGGTGGACTGACCAGTCCACTCCTTGCTGGGCACCTTGGGCCGTGAGGACTGCACCAAAGCGGGAAGCCCTTTCAAGGGCAACAACCTGAGTGAGAAAGCGGCGAACTGACAGGAAAAGGCCAGGGTTGGTGACATCAAGCAGAAGAACCCCGCTGCTATGAACCCAGCGCAGAGGATCACTGACATTGATGCGCAAATCAATACAATACTGCACCATAGCAGCAACCGGGCCTGCAACACACTTCCATCCATGCACGGCCGCCTCTTGGCGAGTCCAGGCCACCTTCCAGGTGCGGGCTAGGATTTCCCAGCCTTGTGCCGTGGAGGGGCCGAACATTTTATACAAAGCATCAGCCTGCGCAAGGACAACTGTCAACAATGGGTCTTGACAACGGAAGGACATACAGTCCAGAGACACGTCGACAGAGCCCCACTTGGACCGCCCAACATGCCTGGAGATGGATGCGCGAACGACCTTGAGCCTTTTGGGGGACAAGCCCTGTCCCTGGCAACCATAGATCTCGGCCGTAAGAATGGAAGTGGCATACAACCTGTGGGCTTTGCAGCCTGTGCCAAGTTGGTGAAGTTTCTGGTTTCGGGCGCGGCCGACCTTGAAGCGTTTCAAAGCATGCGTAACCCTTCTGCGCTTGGCACCTGCCGAGTCAAGTCCAAGGTCCCGGACCAAGTCAGCAACCTGAGGATCGCCTTCAACACGCATACTGTTGAGTGCTTTGGCCGCCTTGGCACTATTGACAACAAACTTGGTTTTGGTTTTGTTAATGCGAAGCTTCTCAACGGAAAGCAGGGCCTCCAATTTCCTGGATGCCGACAGGGCCAAAGAGGCCGCAACCTCCGGGTCAGCATGGGACACATCGACACTGATGTCATCAAGCCATAAATCGGCATGGCTGACCCCACGGTGCTGGGAGATGCCCTGCAGCGGAGCATGAGTGGTGAGTTTTGCAACCGTGGGTGCGTACGGGCACCCCTGAAGGATGCCCCTCTGGGGCCACAAAGCAACAGTGCTGACCCCCTCGCCATGGAGACAACGAGGCCCATTGTACAGCTGAAGACTAAGTTCCAAAAGCAAGGGTGGAAATGACAAAGCTTTGCCCTGTGAAATCAGTCGAGAAAAATCTACCCCATCATAGAAACCTTCAAGATCAACGAACAAAGTTATGAAAGTAACTTTGCGAAACTTATGATCCTCTGCCTTGATCAAGCGAGAAAGTGCTGGGTCAAGGGAAGTCGAAAGGGGCAAAGGCCGCGTACTCCTTTAACCAGCTCTCCAGGAGCGGGCGTCGCAGCTTGCTGTACACTCGCCAAAGGACCGATGTGAGAGATATGGGGCGCTCTTTTTCTGGGGTTTTTGCAAGAAGGGCGACCTGCACCGTAAGCATTTGAAGCGGCAAAGTAAGGTCCGTCTCAGCAAGACGAAAGAGCCCCGCAAGCTGTCGGTAGCAGAAGTCAGGGAGGTTACGCAGAGCCTTGTACGACCAACCATCAAGGCCTCCCTTCTTGTTGCCCGTGGCCAGGCACGCTGTCTTGACCTGCTCCCAAGATAGCGGTGACAAATCCTGCGCCTGCTGCAGGGCCTCAGCCCTTAAGGCGAGGCGCTCTGCAGACAGGTGAGGCTGCGGCGGCACAATTGACGCATCCCAGATGCGGCTCCAGAACTCCATGCGACAGTAAGCCCGGGCAAGGGCCGACTGGTCCCGAAAGGGCCGGGCGAGAGTCTGTTCGTGGCTTTTAAGAGCACGATACACCGGCCCCATGCCAGCCGACAGGGCTCCAAACAGCCATTGTTGATATGACTCAGCCTGCGCTCCCTGCTGAGCGGTCTTAGCAAGCTTGGCCTGCGCCTCAGCATGGGACCTCAGGGCCGCGAGGTCGCGATGATTTGAAACAGTGTCCCGGGCTTCGTCTGCCCATTGATGATGCTCAGGGCCGAGCTTGGAGAGCAAGGAAAGGGTTTCATTGGGCGGCCCCCCAGCCTTGAATCGGCCTGCGAGCTGGGACCAGACAGAGTGCTCGTGACCAAACCACTGGTAGTCATTGGGGGGTTGCGACACGGCCGGCTGCCGAATCGTCGGCAAGTTTACCCCCCTGCCCATGGTCCTACCGAGTAAACCTGAGGCCTCAGCGGTGGCAGAAAACTCCGCAAAGGCGAGGGAGGCGGGGTCACAAGCCTCGATTTCAAGGAGGGTGACCCTCTGCGGTGACACAACCGGGGGTTGCAAATTGCGCTGGTCGTCAAGAATGGGGTCAAAGGAGTCAGTGATGGAGCGCAAATTTGGCTGGAGGTCCTGCAAAGACTTTAGAGGAAGGGTGCACTTAAGCGCCGCATGGGGCTTAAAGGGAACATCCCAGGCAAGCTCAAGCGAAAGATGCGAGGCCAACCGGGGGTGGACCAGTGCATAGTCAAGCTCGGCTGCGGTGCCTGCAGTAGGCATCCCAGTACCAAGTAACCGACCCTTTGTGAGGTCCTCAAGCCTGGTGGCGAGGACCTCACAAGCATCTAGGTTCCAGTCTCCAACCACGCACCACGGGCACTTGAGCGAGGCAATCACTGCATACATATTGGACAGGACCAAGGTATTGGCCCGGCCTTCAAAAGTGCTGCCTGACTCAAGATACAGCGACAAGAGGGCTAAGTCGAAACCCGTCACCCGAATAGCGACAGCTACGAAACCACAGCCCGTTTCAGGATCCTGAAAGGTGTGAACGTGTCTGGCCTGCAAATGCGACTTAACACACACCATCACACCCCCAATCTCCCGCTTGCGAACAGGGGAATGCTGGCCATGGACATGGTAGCCTGCCTTGGCAAGGGCCACAGTTTCAGCATGAAAGGCCCTCTCCGAAAGGTGATGCTCCTGAATCAAGGCCACATCAAACTGGTGAAAGACCAGCCACTGCCTAAGTTCAGGTCTCCAGGAAGTCACATTTGCCGAGACAAACTTGAAAGTACGAGGCTGACCCGAGGAAACAGAGTGGACTGAGTCCTCAGAAGCACGAGCGATGCGGGCCCAGGTCTCAAGGCTGTGATCCTGAATCTCAGTGGCCTCCAAAGACTTAAAAAGGGCCCAGTGTTCCAAGGTGCCCTCCTGGCATTGCTCCTCAAGCCCTTCGGCGAGGTGCAAAAGGTCAGGCTCCTGGTTCCAGGCAGGATGCAAAGCTTTATATGCACTCAGGTTGAGAAGAGATCCCCAGCCTGACCGACCAAGGCTCTTCCCAACCTTGCACACCGCAGGGGACGGTGGGCCTTGTGGGCCAGGAAAAGGTTCAGCATCCTGTGGAGTTGGCGCAGCATGGTCAAAGCGGGAACCATGCTCTTCCAAGAAAGACATGATCGGTCCCCTAACCAATGGTTTCTTCACAACCTTAGGTTCCGAAGAGGCGCCCTCCTCCGGCGAATGAAACATGGCGGGATGGAAAAACTTTGGGCCAGTCAGGGCACAGCTAGGGGATGGCCAAAAGGGACGGGATACAGCCATCCGCGAGCTGGGCTGGCTGGTCTTGCAAGGGAGATCCGAGCCTCGAACCCGGTGGCGAGGCTACGGCCAGGCCCACGTCAGCACTGCAAATGCTGGCCTGAGCATGTTTTGATGCGTAATTGACATGGATTTCGGCACTGCAAATGCAAAACTGGACTCCCACGGCATTTGGCACGAAAGGGAGGCCACAGTGCCAGCACTTGAAAAAGGTGTTTGACGCGTCAGGGCTTGCGCTTGGCTCCGAAACTTCCAGATCACGCAAAACCTCACTCAGAGAAAGAACCGGAAGACAAAAACCGGGGCCCCCACGCAACCCCCCACCTGGATCCTAAAGCTCGTCACCCTTGTCACCGCGCTTGGGCGAGCGACTGCGCGCCTTGCCGGACTGGCTGTTCAAGTCCTTAGCGTCTGCGGCGTTTTGCTGGGGTTCGGCGGCCGGGGGTGCCGTAGACTTCGGGAGCAATCCAGGCGGGAATTGTTCCTGCTGCTGGGTCTTGCGGCGTTTGGCCTCGTCTGCGTTTTCCTTCTTGAGAGCTTCGAGACTGCGCTTTTGGGCCTCCGTAAGGGCCTCTTCCTGAATCCCCAGGGCCTGCAACACAGACTCGACTCCATGGTTGGCCTCTTCATTGCACTGCGTGAGAACCTTGGTTTCATACTCCTGAGTGGCTTTATTGACCTCAGTCTGTGCCTCCTGGATGGAGGTCTGCAGATCTTGCATCTTCGTCAGCATGGCCCTAAGGTTTGCCTTGGCCAGGTCAATGTCTTCCTGCAGCTTCAGCTTGCGCTGGCCAAGGTCGCGCAACTTACCGACGGAGTTGCGCCACTCAACACCTGCAGCCTTGCCTTCCTGCACTGGGTTAGGGACCGGTGCTGCTGGCAGAGCGTCCAGGACTTCCTGGGGGAGATCCTCACGGTTGCGCTGCAAAAGGCTGAGTAGGTCAACATCTTCCTGCTTCGGGGCCGGCACTTTAAAGCCAGCCTGCTCAAACTGCAAACACACATCTGCAGGCAAGGTGGACCACACCTTCTGAAGGCAGCTTGCTAGCTTAGCTGGCTTCGGCTGCCGAGTTCGAGGTCGCGGCCTGCTAGGTTCTCTCCAAGGTGCCTGCGGTACATCAGCGGGCCAAGGCTTGCCGCACCAACTGCACTTTGCAAACTTCTGCACTTTAGAGGCATAAATCCAGCTTGCAGGACCACAGGTTTTGCACACATAGTACCTACCTCCTGCCATGACTGTTCTCTCAGCCCCTGAGGCGAGTGAACAGCCCTCAGCCCTGGAGGCGAGGGCCGGCACCTGCACGCTGGAAAGTGACTGGCAAAATGCCAGCACTGCACAAGTATGGCTCGCGAAAGGATAAGCTGGGATTCCTGTTTGAGTCCTGTTGCCCCAACGACAGTTAAGGCCCAGAGGCTCGGTTGAAAACAGCTACGCTCCCTACGCAGAACACCCACCTCTGAAAGCAGGGCTCGAGCCAGACTTGAGCCAAGGAGCAAACTTTTCTTCCCGTGCGGACAGCAGATGCCGCGGCCGATGGCCGCCTTCCGTAAAAGAACCTAGAAACTGTACAGATCAACAGCACAAAACTCTACACTACGCGACCTCCGCATCGCAAGCGGGGACTGCACCACTACGGGAGTCCCACCAGCTCTCCCAAGGAAAGAAGGTGGAACTGTGGCACACAAGAGCGTAAGAGCAGCGCTGGACCATGCACCAAAGCTCAGAGGTGACCAGCATGGGCATCCAGGGAGCACAGCAAGCCTTGCAAGCTTCACAAGGCCACCAAAACAGACCAACAAGCCTGTTAGGTCTTGCTGTTGCACGCTTGAGCTAGCTGGACCACGAAGCAGGCGGGTGGGAGCCGACAAATTCAACGGGCATGCACGGCAAGCCACCTCGCAATTTCAAACCTTACAAGGACGCCAGCACCAGTGTAACACGAGACTGGTGTGAAGAGGTCAAGTAGCCCTGCATACAATATACAAGCAGAGCTGTGCAGCTTAAGGCCCTGTTGTTGCCAGGATGGCAACTTGTGCAAGAGAGTTCGACGAAAACCAGCAGCAGCAGCCTTTGTACACTTTCTACACCTAACAAACTACCGCCGACTGTACACAGCGCCACAAGTGATCGCATGAACACGCCAAGTGCCCACGCCATCACCTGTGAATTTCCAGCGTAGTTTTTGACAAGTTTCGGACCAGAAAACCAAAACCGTGCCCAGCACAGGTAGCAGCTGAAGGCAGTGAGGTGGCCTTAAGAAGAAGTGCACATATTCATCAAACCACCGGGTGATACCCGACTGCTGCTCACCATGGGATCGCATGCAAGGACAGTGCCAGCAACGGCAGCAGCTGCAGTGGCCAAGGCCACATACACGTGACCACGTAACAAGAGTTACACATACCCCCATTTTTATTGCAAACCAAGCGCCTAGCAGGCTCAAGTGGAAGGCAGCGCTAATGCAGCCAGCAAGGCGCAAAAGCGGCACATCTCAACCACGATGCTCACGTAAAGGGCAACTTGGCTTGTTTTGGCGAAGGTTTGGATTTGCCTGAGCTGTTGGGCTTCGCCACCATGATGTGGCAAGATGTCATCCAAAGGCCATTACAAAACTCCCAGATGTTCTGTTGTTAAGGCCCGAAGTCGGGTAATGCATATTCATCAACCAGGCAAGGAAGCATGCGATCACAACCCAACCACCGGCGGAACTAGCCTAAACCTATAACCCTAAGGCATAACAGGCGGGTGCAGCCAACAGCGCACACCGAGCATGTGACCTGTAGGGCAGCAATTGAACATGCGGAAAGGTAGCCTACATCAGATGAAAGCCATGGCGAGCGTTGTTGCAGCCATCAGTCGCATGACCGTCGTGGACCGCCAGATGACACGGGTGCAGCCAGCAAGCGCACTCCAGCTTCCACCAGACATGTTTGAGGTTGCTTTTTTTTTTTTTTTGGAAACCCTAGCCCAACCCTCGAAACAGCCCGAGAAGCTCACCGAAACGACAAACGGGTCTGTTTGGAGGTGTCCTTAGACTTGGCTTTGGGCTTGCACTTAGGTTTGGGCTTAGGTTGGGCAGAGCAGGGGAAAACAGAACTGCCACCGCCTTGCTGCACAACCTCCGCAGGATTTGACTCTTTGGCCTCAAAGGATTCCTCAATGGACCGGCTCGTATCAGCTTCAACCTGGGCCATGGAACGCACTCTCGTTTGGGCGTTAAGTTTACGCCCGAGCCCTTTGCAAGTGGACTTCATGACCGACGACGACGAGGTGGCACCAAGTTTAACCATGGCAAGACACTTGGAGCACATAAAGAAAGAACCCTTATTAACCATGTCATGACTGCCATGTATGCCCCAGCAGGCGGGAACCGGGGCAGCTCTGTCACGACAAGGATTGGACATTTTGCGATCAAAAACCTCGGGAGGGTTACACTGCTCCACATAAAGCTGGCAAACGGTGCACTGGATCGCAAAATTGTTGACGGCTTTGGCCTCACAATCCTTCCAAACATGACCCAGCCCAGGGTCCGGGTTGGCGAGAGCCTCCTTAAGGCGTTGTTTTTTGTTGGGTTTGGGCTGACTGCTGGGCTTGGACCCGCCTTTGGGCTTACCAAACTTACCCTGGGAAATGATCGAGGGCTTAGCATCCTGGGGCGAAGGCTGGGAGTTGAGGCACCTATCAAAAACCCAAGGGAAATCCTTATCTTTTTTGTGCTTGAGGACAAAGCCAATTTTCTTAGCCAGGTGCAGGCAAATTTCTTCACAGAGCCCATCAAGAACAGGAAGATTCGGCTTAGTCGCTGATTGGAACACTTGCGCAGCCCTTTTGCCACATAAAGAATCAACATCCTCGTTCAGCAAACGCCGCCATTCAGGGATGCCTTTTTCAGCATAATAGGAAGAGTCTTTATGACTGGGCACCCAAGTGATATTAGCCCTTGACCTGTCACCCCAAATTTCACCCCAAGGGACCGGGCCTTCAAGGGGCGGCATGTTTTTCCGTAGAATGTGTGTGATTGCCTGACAGTCCACCGTCAAGTCGAAAGCACCGGAGACACGACCAAAGAGCTCAAAGGCAGCCTGTTGTTCCGCACTGGCCACCGACAGGGGCTCTTCGGGAAAGCACGTGATGCTAGCAACACGCTTCGGCCCCTCCGGTGCAAGCTCATATGCCGCAATGGCCCAAGCAACACATGCCGCGCGGTGGTCACGGGCACCTGGTCCACCCGACGCATCTGAAGCAAAAACAAGATTATCACTATTAAGGACCCGTCGGCTGCTCCACAAACCCTCACAAACCAAACCCTTCTGCGTATCCGTACCTCCCAGCGACGTGGCACGCTGTGGCAACAAACCGCGCAACCAAAGACATGGCCACGGGAAACTGCGGCGGGAGGCCGGGAAATGCGGTGGTTCAGGATACTTAGAAACAAGATAAGGGCAGTCCCACAGAACATGCTGCAAGCTGAGAGGACAGGCACACAGTTTACAGTACCCGGGCTTATTCTGACCTAAAAGTGCTCCTTGCCACAGGGCTTGCAAACTAGTCACCATACTCTTATTGAAGAATTTGCGCTTAAGCAAGCGGTGAGGGACCTTCAAGTCGACTCCAGAGGCTAAGGATTCACAGGCTTCCAGATGAGATATACGAAGCAGCCTAGCGGCCTCCCACTTAGGCAAAAGCCAATGCCACACCCGACGGGTGGCGTCAACACTGGCCCAATCAATGATAAGGAGACACTCGCCGCACGTCCAACGGTGGGACTGGGGCGCTTGCACACCTAAATCCATCAAGTATGCCAAAGTGGCCGCCAAGGGCCCATTGACGCGCTTCCAAGGTTGGGGCGACTCTGAAAGCCAAGCCCAAATGTTGGCCCAAGTCGATCTGAATTTCTCCGGGTCCGAGATCTGCCAACGACGGAAAACCCTGGCAACCGCTCGAAAATGCTGCTTCAAAATGGTGAGGTGCGGGTCCTCACACTTGTGACGCAACAAAAGGAAAGAGACATCAAGCGAACCTAACTTTTGGCGGCCGATGGCCTTGGCACAAAGAGTCCTGTACCACTTACGCCGCTTAGGACTGACGCCTGCAGCCTGATGCCCCCAAAGACCTGCAGAGCATATGGAGGCCCGGGTAATGCGCACTTTATGTGAAAAGTTGGCAAGGCCCAACTTGCGAAGTTTAGACGCCCTGCCACTGGCCTTAGCTCGCCTCATCTCAGCTAAACCCAAAACCCTGCGGCGTGCACCCCCCGATGTGACACCTAAGTCCCTGGCAAAGGTGCGGACTTCAGGGTCTGTGTCAACTCTGACAGCCTGCAAGCATTTAGCCGCTTTAGAGGACGATGCAACAAAAGAAGTCTTATCCAATGACAACTTGGCACCAGTTGCCTCGATGCTGGTACGCAGGCTGCGAAACAGCAGCACAGCGTCTGAGGCAATCTGCTTGGCCGAGGCACCGACACAGTCAAGGGACAGATCATCTATCCATACGTCCAAATTGGATGTCGCACGCTTGGAAGTGGCCGCAACTGCAATGGGGTGCACAACAAGTTTGCTGATAGACGGGGCGGCCGGGCACCCAGCCAGGACCCCCTTCGTGGGAGTAATGGCCGGGCACAAAGACCCTTCAGATTGAAGAAAACGCGGGCCCATGTACGTAAGAAGGGCCTGGTGCAATACCAGGGGAGGGTACCCCAAAGAAAGGCCAGAAGAAATGACATCATTAAAACGGCATCTATCATAGAAAGTCTCCATATCAATGAAAATTGTAACTAAGTGCTGACCGGACTGTCTAGCCGCCTCGCCTCTAAGTAAGCGTCCCAAAGCGACGTCCAGCACTTGACTCCCCGGCATTGCCTTATCCCAGACCGCGGCTTTACAGTACTGGAATTGCCAATCGGAGACCAATTTCCACCTCATGCGCACCCAAGTGCGGTAAAGCACGTGCAAAAGTGCTATTGGTCTCTCCCGCTTCTCGCTTTTTGGGATGAGGGCTATAAGTGCAAACACCATCTGGGCAGGCCAAGTGGCCTCAGTTTCACAGTGGTGAAGAAATGAAATGATGGATGCAACAGCCGGTCGCTGCAAATTTTTTAACATCTCAAATGTCCACCCGTCTAGACCTGGTGCCTTGCTGGGCACTCGCTTGAACGCCGCAACCGCCTGATCTAGGGGAATCGGCCCAAGCTCCTTGGCCTGCATTCGGGCACGTTGCCTGAGATCACTGAGGAGCGCCGGGTCGACCCCACCCGGCGCGGACCAAAGCTCAAACCACTGCCTCCACCTAAGGTAGATGCGCTCCTGCACAGGCTGGTGCAAGAAAGGGCGCAGCTGGACAGCTTCATCCGCTTTAACACTGGTAAAAAGGCCACGCAAGCCTTTACACGAAGCCTGCTTTAGCCACTTACCGTAGCTTGCGCTCTGCTTCTGCATCCACAATTTGGAATGGTGACGAAATTGTTGCTCCGATACCTGAATCAACTCTGGAAAAGCCGAGGGCGTAGCACCTTTAAGAACAGCATCAAGCTGGACTTGGAAAACACTGAGCTCGGCTGTGGATCCGTGCCACATCAATTCAAGCTGCGACCAAAATGTGTGGCCAAAGGGTGCAGGACAACTCCGCTTCGCCGAAAGTTCCAGCCAAACAAGGACCCGCTTCCAGAAAGAGGCCTGAGCCCCCCCCCAAGCACCCACAGGTGAGGTATGGCGCAGGAGTTTGTCACGGCGAAATTTGGGCAGGCAGCCTCGACCTTGAGTGCAGCCATAGACCGATAACTCAACAGAGCTACTGAGCTGCTCAAAGGTATGTGTGAGGGCCGGCTCAGGTATGGAGCCACCCCAGTGCCCGGCACAGGCAGACTCCAGATCAGGCTGAGGGCCAGAGCAACCTGCAAAAGGAGGCTCGAAGGGTTGCGGCATAATGGGCTTCGGCTTGAAACCCACAAGCTGGGGAAACCTCAACTCGCACTGCCTCCTGTCAATGCACCAATGTAAGGCAGCATGTGGAGCAAACGGAGTGATCCAGTCAGCCCGGACCGAAACTCCCAAGGCCAGCCCTTTGGAAACTAAACCAAAATCAATGTTACCACCCCCTGTGCACGTGGAAGCCCCCGTGTGGACCCATTGGCCCCGAGCTTCCTGCGCCAAACTGGTGGTCACCAGAACACTGATGTCTTCGTTGAAGTCGCCTGCAACAAGAAATTCACCTTGCAGCGACCTAAGGAAGGGAATCAAATTGGAAAGAATTATGGCATTAGTCGGGCCCCGGAAACCCTCCCCTGTCTTCAAGTAAACATTGACGAGGAAGATATCAACACCCCGGATGCGCAGAACAACAGACTGAAAACCAACACCTTGGTGAAGGAAGTGGTGGCTTTTACGGACATCAAGGTGCTTCTTAAACACAATCGCAAGGCCTCCTGAGTTACCACCTCCCCCAGTGGGGTGACCTGGCAAGCTGAAGGCCTGATAGCCAAAGGCCCCAACATGAGTGGCCAGCAAATCCCCTTGCTCCTCCTTAATGTGTGTTTCCTGTACCAGCCAGAGGTCTGGCCTGATCCCCGCAAGAAAGGTTGCTAAGGACTTGCGCCACTTGGTGACATTGGAGCTGACTAACAGCAATTTCTTTCCGTCGGCATTGGATTCAAGATTTGCGATGACATCCCTGATAGCCGAGGCTGCAACGTGCCAAGGAACATCATCACCGGCTTCAACAGCAAGCTCAGCAGCAAACCAGGGAAAGGTATCTTCAAGAATATATTGGCCCGCCTCTAGGGCCTCCACAGCTTGAAGCACTTGCACATGACACATATGCTCCAGCCCTTGCAGCAAGCTGGCCCAAAGGGCCGAAACCCCTGGATCACCAGACTGAGCGAGAGCACTGCCCGACCAAGTTGAATGCACAAGCACCTGGTCAGCCTGAGTGCAGCCTGCAGGGCGCACAGCAACGCCTGGTTGGGACAGCGTATGGCTTTGGTCACCAGCCTCAGGGCACGCTGGAACCGGATCATCATGAAAGTTCGGGCCACACCCGGAATTCTCAGACAACGGGATGTATTGCTCCCTCCAGGGTCCTCGGCCAGCGGCCGCACCTCCTCCTGCGGGCCAATCCTCCGCCTGTGTGATATACCCACCTCCTGGACCCTGGAGGGAAACTCTATTAAGGGAAGCAATCCCAAAATTCCGACCCCCAGGACCCTCGCCCAGCGGGCACACCTCCTCCTGAACGAAACCACCACCACCATAATAACCACCCTCCTCCTGGGCCCTGGGGGCCCTCATGGCATCAAGATTGGTAGCCGCGCAACCCAAAGGATGCTGGTCCTGGTCAGGCCGCCCGTGCAACTCACCAGTGATGCCGCAATGCCCAGGAGCAGCATCCCAGCAATCAAAATTGGGGTTAGGGTCCCAAGACTGGGAGACACACGGGGTAGGGAACGGAAATGAAAATTCATGGCCAGCTTGCGACCTGTAGCCGTCAACTTCAACCACTTCTGCATGGACCGAAGCAACTGCACAAGGGTCAAGCAAATCACCACCGTGAGAAATCGGATCAGAAAAGGTCCCTGAACCCTCAAGCACGTGTCGCAATCGGCGGTTGAGGCGCCGGCGGGCCCGTCTGGATGCAGGGGCTTTCCGATTCGTGGAAGGCCCATATACGAGAATGCTCTGATACATGTAGGCCTCACAGTTGCGAGCTCCCGCGAACCATACACCTCGCCCTGTTCATCACACTCCTGAGCAGCACTGGCAGGAAAGAAACGTGGACCTGACAAGTCAGCGGATATGTGAGGCCGGCCCTCGGTGCTGGTGGGGCGGTCCGCCCAGCGACACAAACACCCTGGGCAGTAGCAGAGTACATCACTGACAGCCGTGGCAAGGTCCTCACATGGACGGTGTAACATGACCTGGCTGCTGGCTGAAAGAAAACTCCTAATCCAAGGAAAATCCTGCTGACCAAGCACTGCATTCTGGCCACAACTCAAACAAGGAGGCCACCCTTGCACAAGCTCTTCAAGCTCCGATGCATATCCACTCGCAAAGGCCAAATTGGGGTTAAGGAAAACTCCCGAAGGCGCACACGGGTTCGGGCTAGAAATGGGCCTGGACTCAAGGGTGCCTTCATGCCTCCGGGCGGAAGCACAAGCACTCCAGCACAGTGGCAAAGTGGGCGGCCTGTGGCGGAAGACCCTGGCCGGCACTCTGTAATCAAGGATCCTGGGCACAGGTTGGCCTGAAAGCGCACAAGATTCAAGAAAAAAGCCACGGCGACAATGAAAACTCTCACTCTGACTCGGCATGCAGTGCTGGCACAAAGCTGGCTCGGGAGGCCTAGGGACAAAGGGGGGCACTGACATAGGCGTATGGCAGCATGCACAACACAAGTCCTGACACGCAAGCTGCATCGCCCCTTCTTTCAAGCCCGAATTTCGAACCGAAGACCTAGCAACCCAACCTTGCGCAACCGAAGGCTCTGCCGAGAATGAGTGCGCAGCAAAATGAGGAGTAGCACAGCTTCTAGCCGACGCCACCTGAAAGCAAGGATTACAAACGCACATGCTGCTGGACCCAACGTGGAAACTCACACTTCGTGAGGACGCCAGGGGCGCAACACAGAGCGAACATGTTGTGTTGACAGCGGTCTGCTGGTTTTGCAAAATCTGAGGAGCGGTGCGGGTCTGGGGCCAACAAGGAAAAGCAGGAGCCTCAGGCACATGCAAGTCACTTCCCAAGGAACTCGTAACCCTTACCCAGGAAGAGAACCCCGGAATCCTCCTAAAATCCCCGGAACCCAGACCCTCACCTGCATCCTACAGATCCTCCTTCTCAGCGGCAGCCTCTTGCGTCTTTCTTGGCGACCTGGATCTGGTGCCACGCTGTCCGTTCTGCGCTGGCTCAGATTTCTTGGGCACCTCTTGCGTGTTGGGTGCTGCGGCCTTAAGGTCAAAAGCCTGGCTGTCAGGGGGTCCATGTGTGCCGGCACGCACTGCGGCAATCTTTGCTTCCTGCTCTTCAGTCAAGGAAATCCCAAACTTCTCAAGAAACTGCGCAATTTCGCCGTTCAAAGATTCATCTTGGGCCAGGACTTTGGTGGTAAGCTCCTCGCCCGCATCTGCAACCTGTTGCTGCGCCTCTTCAATTTTGGTCTGCAACTGTTTCATCTCGGTCAGTCTTGCGTTGTATTGCTCCTTAGCTTGGTCGATACGCTTCTGCAAGCTAATCTTCTTGTCTCCAAGCAATTTCAGTGCAACCGTGGCCTTACGAAAAGCTGCATTTGCTGCGGTTCCAACTTCATAAGAGGTGGGAGCCGGAGTTTGCTCCGGCGGCTTGAGGCCTGCCTTGAGCATGAGCTCTTTCTGCTGCTCCGTGGCTTCAGACCACAGCTTCTGCTTAGCCTCGCAGGCCTCAGATGCATCCATGTCAACATCAAAATCGCCGAGACCCGGAGGCGGGACAACCGCTGCCGCGGATGGAGGCCTCCACCCAGCTTCTTCGATCGCCAGTCGGGCTTCGGGAGTCAACTTCTCCCACACTGTGTGCAAAGCGAGTGCCGCCTTGCCGGGCTTTCGCTCCTTACTCTGCCTGGGCGGCCTAAATGAGGTCTCAGATGCCTCATCACCGCTCTGCACAAACCTAACCTTATGCTTTGCCTGTCGAGGCCACGCTGCACCACAAACTGCACAACACGGGTGGGCTGAAATGCGATCAGCATACAGCCAGCTCTCTTTGCACTTCCTGCACACGACATACGGCCGGAAGCGCGACATGTCGCACTGACTTGCACCAGTCCTTGTGCTTCTGCTGCCGTCCTTCAAGAAAACTGTACGCAAGAAAGTTTGGCAACAAAGGGCGTTTTTGCAAGCAAGGCCCTCAAAACAAACTTTTCCAAGAAAATCAAGCGATCTGTGCAAGCAAGATGTTTCAAGGGTTGCAAGTTGCGGTGGTGTTCAAGAAAAGTGGCGCACAGAGCGCCTGACAGTCTACGGCTCCCTCCCAGCCCTTGCCGGCTAATCCGGCCTACGACCTCTACGAGGTTACGTTTGGGGTCCTGTTTGAGAGCTCTAGAATGCAGGCCTCAAGGCTGGCCACGTCGGCACCTCAAGTTTGAGCACTCACGGCAACTTGAGCCAGGAGCAAACTTTTCTCGGTCTTGCGCTCTGAGTCGCGGCCGCCGTAGCGGCAAGTTCGGTCTGGGCTGTACTCTGACAGCAAAAGGAGGAGGGCAGCCTTGTTTAAGGCGTCCTCCGCTAGGCCTACTCCTATCCCCCGTTCCTCCCAATCTCCGTTGGGAGGTTGCCGGAGGAGCTACTTCGGACCTAGTCTAGCCCTCCTCCCAGGCTTTTGCTGGCGAGGTTGAAGCAGCCTCAGGATTGGCCCTGTGCCTCCCGGTGCCGGTGAGGAAAGGAAGCCGGCCATGGCCTCAGCTGTTCACCTCCTTGTGCCCCCTGCCTAGGCGGGCTCTGCTGGCTTTGACCACCTCCCTCAGCCCCCTTCTTGAGGTGGGTCTTTGAGGCTGAGGAGATCCCAGTCTCCGCTGGTGAAGACATTGGCTCGCGACCTGAGCAAACAGATCTCATCCCTGGGGGAAAAGCAGAGGATGCGCTGAGCATGGAGTGAAGCCACCACCCACTGCCCAGCATCGCTCCTGCTGAGTTCCTCCACCAAGGTGCGAGCCAATGCCCGGTGGTCTCGGTGAAGGGATTCCACTTGCACCCTCAACCAGTCCGCCGTGGCGGGAGCACTGTGGTGGATCCAGTTCCACCAACTTTCAAGCTTCCTCCTTGGAGGAAAGCCTGGTGGTGCAGATTGCGGCTCCCAATCTGCAGCGTCGATGACAACGATCTCCTCCACGCAGGAATTTGGCGACATCTTTCGGATGCCCCAGTTGCCACGATTTAAATCGCGGCACAGCATGCCCGCACAACTGACCCCCAGAATAACCATCGCCATGTGCAAAACCCTTGCACTGGATGGTTCTGGGTACATTGGGCTTAGCCGTTCCACCTCCAAAATGGTCACAGGCACCTTGCCCCATGTACCAATCTGGAGGATTCCAGGGCCCACCTCCCGGGTCTTGCTTGCGCATATCCCGGGGATGACTTGCCCTAGGCGACTCTCTGGCCCATGGCCAGATCGGCGGTTTGGCTCCTGCTCGCTGGAAGTAAGTTTCCAGCACAAGGCGGGATTTCCTGGGCATTCGAAGGTTGCCCGGCTGCCCCCTATTCCAAGGAGGGCATAGCAGTCGCTGAAACCCCGTAGGGCTAGCGAGTCCCCAACCTGAGCAAGCCAGTGGATAGTGTTGTGAGACCTCTTCACATGTGGCGTGAAGAGGATCAGGGGTGTGTCCCCCACTTCCACCGGCCATGTTGGCCTAGAAGGGCCCTCCTCACTTTTTGGGTGAGTCGGACTCCTGTTTTGGCCTGCTGGTTCACTTGGGGCCTCGCCAGGGTGGGTCGGGCCCCCTTGTGTGGCCGAGGGCTGGCTCTGCTCTTGACCCGGATGGGTCGAGCCCCCCTCCTTTGCCACCGAAGAGGCCGCGGCCCCTTTTGGGGACGATTCTTTGGAATCCGAGGACTCCTCTTTCACTGCCTCCGCCGGGCTTGTCAACTCAGCCTCGGCATCGGCTGGTCTCGCCTCGGATTCTCGGGCAGGTTCCTGCCTAGCCGGGGGCGTGCGGCTCCGCTCTGTGCCGCTTTCACTCCCTTTGTTAGGCGAGGACTGGGGTGACAGGTGTGGCTCCCTATGGTCACCGCGGCCTTCCCCCCGGTTTTGCGGCGGGGCAGGCTCGCTCTCGCTGCCCTGGCCTTTGCCCTCCCCCCGTTGGCGCGGTGGTTCCGGCTCTCGGTGTCGCTCCCCCCGGTAGCGCGGTGGGTCGGGCTCTCGGTCTCTGTCCCCCCGTCGGTGCGGTGGGTCGGGCTCTCTGTCCCTGTGCCCCCGGTAATGCGGTGGGTCGGGCTCCCTGTCCCTGTACCCCCGGTGTTGCGGTGGGTCGTGCTCACGGCCCCAGTCCCCCCGATAGCGCGGTGGGTCAGGCTCTCTGGCTTTGCCCTGGCCTTTGGCGGGCTCACCCTTGCCTTTGGCCTTGCCGCCAGGGTTCCAGAGGCCTAAGGCCTTGAGCCTGTCCCGGTCTTTCTTGGACGGCCGCCGGACATGGCCATCGGGCGGCGGATCCCTTTTACCTTTGCCTGGGGCTCCCATCTTGGACCTGTGGCCGCGCTAGGGAAGAGGCTTTGCGAAAAACTGCTTCACAGAAGGAGTACCAGCAGCTGCAAGTGTGTTACGTGCCGCACGCTTACGCTGCAAACCATGCTTACCATGTGCACAAAAGCGTTCAAGAACTGCAGGTGTGAGGCCTCCAACTGGCTGCACACTATGACAC